AAGACTGGAAAAAGTGAGGGGTTTAGAATAACTGAAACACAAATTACAAAAAGAAATTTTTTTTTTAAATGATATAATTGCAAGAACGAATCGACAAATCCACAATACTACTGTGTGATTTTTAAACACATTTCTTATAAAATAATAGCTGAAACAGATAAAATGTTGGTAAATACACAGAATATTCGAATAATACAATTAAATTATCTATCATCTATCCATCCATCCATCCATCCATCCATCCATTCATCCATTCATCCATATACACCCATCCTAGTACCTATCACTGACATAATGGCTCTTACTATTCCCTGCCTTGCTCACTCCACTCCAAACACACTGGCATCTTTTGTTCATCATAAACGCCAGGCACACTCCTGTCTCTGGGCCTTCATGTGGCTGTTCCCACTGCCTAGAATGCTCTCCAGCTCCATATTCACATGGCTCATTTCTTCATCATCTTTAAATCATTTCTACAATATCATTCTCTCAGTGAGGTTTACCCTACACACCTGACTCAAAATTGCAGCTCTTCATGACCCAACAAACCCATTTTACCCTCATTAGTTTCCCATAGAACTTATCACCTTGTAATAAACTCTGTAACTTACTGATTCACCATGTTCAATCTCCATCCACTAGAATGTTAAGCTCTACAAAAGGAAGGATTTCTGTTCTGTTCACTGATGTACCTCCAGCACCGAGAACAGTGTCTGGAACATAGTAGGGCCCAACATGTATTTGTTAAATGAATAAATGAAGAACAGAAATTAATACAAGTATACAAGAGGATAAAATCAAAACCTTGGTGTAGCCAAATTGATTAAAAAAATAAAGATGAATAGCACCAACAGAATTAGGAATGAAAAGGGGAACATAAATAGAGTTTTAAAATTCACAAGAGAATAACACTAATGATAGTATAAATGCTAGTATTTATTAAGTGCTTATACATGCCAGATGTTCTAAACATTTTACATGTGTTTTCCTGTAATCTTTATTCCACCCTGTGAGGGAGCTACTATTATATTATTGTCTTCATTTTATATAGAAGAAAACTAAGGCACGGGGTCACATAGCCAGATTCCTGGAGCCAGGATTCCAACCACATCCTCTAACTCTGGAACCTAGCTTTAACATACACTCCTCTGTTTTCATATAGAGACTAGTTCAAACAACTTGATGCCAATATGTATAAACTTAAACCAAAAAACGACATTTTCCAGACAAACAGATGCAAGAAATTAAATAAACTTACACCACTAGAGAAACTGAATCAGTAGTAAAAAATTTACCAACAAAACATAACAGCAAGACAAATTCTACAAAATAATCAGATAATCTCTCTTATTCACACTGTTTCAAAAAACAGAAAAAGAGGGAAAAGCTGCCCAACTCATTTTGAGGCCATTGTATAATCTGATACGAAAACTGAACCAAGAACAATAGAAGACAGAAAAATCATAGGCCATTCCCACATATGATCACAGATGCAAAAAAAAAAAACCATTAAAATATTAGCATACTGAATGGAGCAATTTATTTAAAAATAATCACAATCAGACTTTATTCCAAAAATGTAACGATGTTTTAATCTCCTAATGTAATTCACTTACTGGCATTTTGGTCTGGATAATTCTGTGTTATGGATGCTGTCCTGTGCATTATATTGGGTTGTCGGAAAAGTCATGGCGTATTTTGCCTATGTTTTTCAAAGGTCATTTATTTATATAAAGAACAAAGATCAATCAATGATATATTGCCCGTTTTGTTCGATAACCTTTTGCCATCTTTCAGTGAGCTTCATAATTCCTCGTTCATAGAAGGACCTATCTTTATTTGCAAAAAACTGAACAAGGTGCTGATTTACAGCCTCATCTAAATTGAACGTTATACCACAGAAGGAGTTTTGAAGAGAGTAAAACAAGTGGAAGTCTGATGGCACAAGGTCAGGCAAGTATGGTGGGTGTGGCAACACATCCCATCCATGCTCCAATAATTTTTGATGGGTGATCAAACTTGTGTGTGGTCTAGTGTTGTCATGATGGAACACAACTCCTTTACAATTAACAAGCTCTGGACGTTTCTAGATTATGGATTTGTTCAAACTGTCCAATTGCTGACAGTACACATTCGAATTGATTGCTTGGTTCCTTGGTAGGAGCTTGAAAAACACGACACCTTTAAAATCCCACCACACTGAAAGCATAACTTTCCTCTGATGAATGTCTGCTTTCAATGTCATTTGAGGCAAATCATCACATTGGGGCCAAGACTGTTTGCACACCACATTGTTGTAAACAATCCACTTCTCATCACCAGTTATCATTTCCTTCAAAAAAGGATCATTTCCCTCACGTTTAATGAGCATATTGCAGATGTTTATACGCACTGTCAAATGAACTTCTTTGAGTTCATGCAGAACCCAAATATCGAGCTTGCTTACATATCCCAGCTTCTTCGGGTGGTCGGGAATGCTTCAATGATGGATGATCAATGTTTCTGTAATCTCTTGTGTCACGTAATGTGGGTTTGACTCCGTCATCATCAACCTTGATGGGCCTCCCTGGCTGAGGGGCGTCGTTGAGATCAAAATCACCAGCACGGAATTTTGTGAACCATCATTTGCACTGACGTACTTGTAGAGCATTGTCACCATAAGCTTTATGCAACTTTTCACAAGTTTGATGCACGTTCTTCCCTTTATGGAAGCAAAACAGTAAAATATGGCAAAAATGCACAGTTTGGTCTTCCATCTTCAACTTGTAAAATCTCCAAAATTCAACCAAATCGTTCAATTTTTTTTTAGAATGAAGACTAGAACTGTCAGTTGTCAAATGGCATAGCAATAACATAGATGTAAATGACTCTAGCACTTCCAAAAATGAACTAGTGCCATCTGTCACAAACATGCATCATGACTTTTCCAACAACCCAATAGAATGTTTACGGCATTCCTGACTTCTACCCACTAGCTGCTAGTAGCACCCTCCTCCCAGCTGTGACAATGAAAAATGTCTCCAGACATTGCCAAATGAAACTGTTCCCTGTTGAGAACCCCTGATGTAGAGGCTGGTGAACTGTCTCATGCATTATGCTTCTACTTAGTAGAACCTGGGCCAGTTGTACAGGCCTTAGAAGCACAGACCCAACTGCTATATTTTCCTTTGAATAATAACCTTAAATATGGTTTCCACTTATCTTAAAATTCAAAAGTATTATATACCAAAAGGATAATACTAAATCAACTTTATTATTCCTCTGTATGAAGATGAAGTATACCTCACAGGATACTGGTTCTAAATTTACTCAACTCTTGAATATCCACATATGAATTACATGAGGACAACTTTTTGATAACTTTTATTTTGACATAATTTAAACTTACAGAAAAGTTGTAAGAATACCACAAGGGACTTTTGTATATCATATATCATCTACTCAGATTCAACAACTGTTCATATTTTGCCCAATTAGGTATATCACATTCTCACTAAACAAAAACATTTTTCTGAACCATTTAAGAGTGGGTTGAAGACACTGTGCCTCTTAACCACTAAGGACTTAGTATTTCCTAAGAACAAAGACAATCTTCACATAATCACACTAAAAGCATCAAAGTCAAGAAATTGAATATGAATACAATGGTATTATCTAATCCATGGTTTATGCTCCGATTTCATCAATTGTCCCGCTAATGTCATTTGTAGTTTTCTACAGATATTTCACAACTTACATTTAAACAATCACTATTAAATGTTGTGATTCCCGATATTTCAAAGAAATGTTATAAAATAAATAATTGAATCTATTTTAAACATGCTACTTACAATGGTGAGATTAACAAATCAGTCCACAAAAAAAGCTATTTAGCCCAAAGAGTGGCCAAAACATTTAGCAATGAGCAATCAGTAGGGAACAACATTATTGCAGAAATCATTATTAGAGCAATCCAAAAGTTATGCTGAAAGAAGTTTTTTAAAATAATAAAATTTGGGCTAGGTTAATTAAAAGGTGATGGGAGATCCATTAATATTTCTGTTGGGATTCTTAAAGAAAACTTACAAGCTCTGTAAGAGGTTGGTGGTCCTGGTTCTTTAATATGTCTAACTTTACCATAAAATTTAGAACTTTCCTTTTCCATGACAGGTATAAACCATCAATATGATTCAAACTTATCAGGCATAACTAAGGTTGTTTTAAATCTCTCCATTAATTGCCAACTCTTTAAGATTTGTAAGTCTGCCCTCAATATGCTATAAGAAACATGTTGTGTATTAGAGATGATGCAACACTCAAGACTGCTAAATTTTATTTTCTTCAAATAGATTTTGTATATAATTATATAATTTCCTCTTATTTTACTTTATAAATTTCCTCCAATTTTTCAAGAGCGTTCCCTTTAATGTCAAATTTAAATAGCTGGATTTACATGTAGAAAACATCTACATGAAAACATTTACATGTACGTCAATGACAAGACATGCCTCCTCCATGTTTACCTGTCTGATGTAATCAACTCCTGGATCTCCCATGATTTGGGGCCTTTTCCTGTTCTCTTCCCCATCTTCCTCCTCTAATTAGACTTGAGGCTGAAAACAGGATGATTAACCCTCTCATGACCATGCTGATGTTTCTCATATTCAAATAGGCAGTTGTGTCTCAAATAGGAAGTGGAGTCTTAGTTATAAATGTCAAGGATTATTTTACAGTTAATACAAAAATAGCTACCATTTGGCTATTTTAAATCTTCACTAAAATGGAACAGAATTTCCTGTATAGTTACCACTGGATAAGATACATTTCATAAAGGCAGCTATAAAAAGATAAAAGAAAATGGTTTGTTCTCTTTAAAGCTGAAAACACAAAATGATCCAGGTATCCTTTTCAGGAGTTACAAATACAGTGTGTTATTTTTCAAAATCTATTAATTACTTTGTGAATCTTAGAACCATATTTTTCCATAATTAATTAAATGAATAAAGTAACACCATACATACCCTGAGTGGCTGTTGGAGGTAGTTTGAGGGTATTATCTAACTTCTCCCAAAGGTAAGTTGGTCGAGGAATGCCTTCCTCTGAGCTACAGAGCAGGATGACATCGCTGCCGATATCCTGGGATCCTTGGATTTGGCAGTGTGGGGCAGAAGGGGGAACTGTAAGAAGAGTAAGCAATAAAGGATGTATTTACTATGAGCCAAATGATGATGGAGGAGATGTCAACATTCAGCACACTGGAACCTCAGATAACACCATTTTTGGAACACATACCAGAAGACTACCTCATGAATGAAGCCAGTGGATAGTCATGTACTATTCACAGGGCTTGTGCATAAGTGTAGGGCTTATGTCAATTGGCAGGGTGCAAAAATGTTAAAGGGGCTACATCCTCTACTTATATTTTGAAGGTATCTTATGGTCTTGGTTCCACTCTGCTTTCTCTAAAGAATAATTCTTAAGATCCTCTGCACAATGCATTGCCTTTAAAACATTATGGAATACACACATGTTCATAGCAGCATTATTCACAATTGCTAAAAGGTGACAACAACCCAAGTGTCCACAGATTAATGAATGGATAAACAAAATGTGCTATGCATACATAATGGAGTATTACTCTGCCTTGAAAAGTAAGGAAATTCTGACACATGCTACAAAGTGGATGAAACTGGAAGACGTTACGCTAAGTGAAATAAGCCAGTCATAAAAAGACAAATAATGTGTGATTCCACTTATATGAGGTTCCTAGAGTCAAATTCATAGAAACAGGAAGTAGAACAGTGGTTTCCAGCAGCTGGAAGGAGAGGGAAATGTTTAATGAGTACAGAGTTTCAGTTTTGCAAGATAAAGAGTTCTGGAAATTGATCATACAACAATGTGAACGTACACTAAACTGAACACTTAAGAATTGGGGACCGGCCAAGTGGCTCAGTTGGTTAAGAGTGCGAGCCTGAGCAACAGGGTTGCTGGTTCGATTCCCACATAGGCCAGTGAGCTGCGCCTGAGCTGAAATGCTGCTGAGTTGCCAACAGGTGCCTGGATGGCTCAGCTGGTGACAGTACATGCTCCTAACAACAAGGTTGCCGGTTCTGGTGGACTATGCCCACCTGCAACTAAGATTGAACATGGCACCTTGAGCTGAGCGGCAGTGAGTTGCTGATCGGCGGCCAGATGGTGCCTGGACTTGGAGCTGAGCTAGCTGTGCCCTCCACAACTAAGACTAAAGGACAACAACTTGGCTGTTCCCCTTCCCCAATTCTCCAAAAAAATATTTAAAAAAAAGAATTGGCTAAAATGGTAAATTTCATGTTATGTGTGTTTTACCACAATTTTTTTTTTAATTAGTATGAAGAGAAGATATTTCAAGGAAGAGCAAACAACCACTTACCCTGCCAACTACTCTGGCTAAAATCACCTTAACAGGGTTCTTTGTTTTTTACAAACAAAACCCAGACAGACCCACTTTACACCAAATTCTGCTTTATATGGGGAAGTTAGAGTAAGGGTCAAGTATATGTTCTACTGGATAGTAATGCAGTAGACATTTCATAATTTTTAAAACTAAAGACACAAGGAACGTGAAACAAAAATTACAAACAAAAAAAAAAACACAACCCCTGAAGCCTGCCCCCATCACACACACATACAAACACACTAACAGTGGTGGTTTATAGTAAAAAAAAAAAAAAAAGAAAATTAAGCAAATAAAAATATAAACTACTAAGCCTATAGCTTGGAATCTCATATTGGGGAATGTGAGCAGTAGGGATGAAATACAAATGATGATGTACTTGCAATGCAAAGGGCTTTTCAATAAATGTGTTCAACCTTGCAAAAATGAATGAATAGAAAATAAATGCAGAATATAGAGGAACCAAGAAAGAAAGTGGGTGGGGGAAGAGAGCACAATGAGAGGGTATAGGTAGGAAGAGTAAAACATCTCAGGAAATCCTAGCTGCTATGATGAGATAAGCCAATCTCTTTCATTTATTGCCTTTTACATTGCCATGTGATGCTATGAGGGAAAATCCAAAATAATTCTTTGAAGTTAGTAGCATTAACTCTGAGATCAATCAAAGGCTTTTTTGTCCTTCCTATAAAAAATGAAACAAACACTTGGATAATGCGGGAAGATAGTTACCTAACTTACAGGTAGCATCAGAACAGTATTAAATTCCAACAGCACTCTGTATCCAGTACTCAGATTACTGTAAAGTCTATACAATATTAATATATTCGAGTGAATAATGTTTCTAGGATAGAAATTTCCAACCTGGTCCTTAATTTTCTCATTTTGTTTCAAGACTGAAAGAACAAGGCACATCCTCGCCCACAGAAGGGAGATGGCAAGAAGAGCCAACACCGTTGTCCTCAAGAGATTCAACAATGGAGGGGAAAGGAAGAGGGCTTGCCCGGGAATATGGGGGCCGATGCTGAGACTTGAGTAGGATGGAGGACTATAAAAGCACCAGTTTTCCTAAGTACTTCCTCATTCTCCCCAAATGAACTGAATTTAGCCACTTCTACCACAAGTGTTTTATTTCAGAAGCAGCAGAATTGAGAAACAGAACATGTGTAGACTGGACTTAATTAAAGATTAGTCTAACTGGCTGGTATAATGGAAAGGTACTGATTTAAGAGAAAAGACCTAAATTTTAATCTAAATTTTATTGCTGTTCATTGTCTTGGAAAAGGCCCTAAATCTATTTGGTCTTGGTATTAAGACTAAATTGACCATATAATATATCATTCAAAACAAGGATACTTTTAAGAGTACAAGAAGGTATTATTAAATTATGCCAGGACAACAGGAGTAAGCCGAGAACGGCGGTGAGCCCACTCAGTGTTACACAGACATGAAGCAGTAGTTAATTTATTCTCACATGTGCTGAAACTTCTGCTTCGTACGCATAATAAATAATTCTTGATTTAATTTGCTCTCAACAATCAGTCCTATCCTGCAGAAGTTTAAGAAAAGTTTCTTTTTACTTTTTTTTTTTTTTAGCTGAGCCATCCTGCCACCTGTTGGAAGCTCAGTGGATGCTCAGCTCGGGCTGGACTTGAACCGCTGTTGCTCAGAGCTCATACTCTTGAGCAAGCTCTTAACCAACTGAGCCACTCAGCCGGCCCAAGATGCCACTTTTGATAGTACTTTACACCACCTTCAGAAAAAATCCTTTAGGAAGTAAGCTTTAGAGAGCCACCTGAAATGGAGGAAGTGGTGGGGAGGCTATGTGTAGGGAGCACGGAGAAGCAGCGTGAATGGATCTGAGAGGAGCAAAGACAGGAAGAGGAAACAAGCTGACTGAGAGTGCAGAAGGACAGGCAGAAGTAAATATGCGTGAGGGTAGATTCATACGCACAGCCAAGCTGCCCAGATTATTTCCTGTCACTCACCTAAAACAGTGAGACCGGTGACCCCAATGTTCCTGCCTCCTCTATCCGGAAGGTTGTTAACCAAACACTGGTAGGTGCCTGTATCTGATAGCTGAGTGTTATTAATGAAGATGGAGACATTGGTGGCTGGCATGGTGCCTATAAATCCTACCCGACCGTGGAACTGGGGGGCACCATCAAACGTCTGTCCACCCTGATACAGAATGACCTGAAAAAGAAAGCAAAGTAAAAAAATTGGCCACTGCATCTCCTTCTAGACATATAACAATAACTATCTAGTAGACAGTAGACTGCACCAAACATTAGAAAATTGTCTTTCTAATCTTAGAGTTGTCACCAAGTTTTTACTATGGCACCTGTCCACAGGTATCTAGGGGCTCTGAATTCTTACATACCTAATTAAAATAACATTTTTTCCTTACCTAACTTGTATGAATATAAAAAATGTCTTTATGCTACCCTACTATCAGCCCAAATATATTTTTACCAGTTATTTCCAAAATCAAAGTTAAAAAAATTTAGCACTGTCATTCTCATGCTTAATAGGACACAAAATGATAGAACACAATTAAATAAATAGAACACAATTAAAGACTGAATATAAGTGAATGTCATAAAAGGGAAAAAGAGCTATAAGCCCATGATTGCTGCTCTTATGTCAATTTCTATTACCAAAGTTGACTATTCATGGGAGAGGACTCAGAATGGTGTTGCAAAAAGCCCTTTGGGCTGACAGTGAGGGACTTGACTTGGTTCTATGCCAGCTCTACCTTTAAATGTTTAGGTAACTGTGGTCAAGTCTTTCTTTGCCTCTTTGGCTCAATCATTGACTCCTAAAATGATGAAGTTGAACAAAATGGTCTCAAAGGCTCAGTCCAATTATAAAACTTCCATAGTTTTAAGAAATACAAGAAGTTTCTATTAAATATATCTACTTGAATTACATATCAGAAAATTTAGCTTATCAAATACTTTTCGGTAGTAAGCTTATTGAAGCTTTAGAAAAGCTTCGTAATGAAAAACAGTTAACTTCAGGAATGAAGGTATAGTCATAATCACAATTCATTAATTTTCTGAGCATTATTTTCTAAAGTGGGTATCACATATTATGGATCTTTTACCTATAATTGATAGACCTTATTAGGTATAGCTTCTATTGCAATGAACCTTAATTTATTTGAGACTCCAGTATACCTGGTTTTGTTTATTATAAAATATTTGTAAAATTAACCAAATAATTCAAGTACTACTCTCTAATGTTACTTCCTTAACATTATCACTGTCTTTAAAAAGTACTCTCTCAATATGCCTATGTTGGCGCCAGTTCCTTCCTTTCAAAATATATTTTGCTTTTTCTGTCTTCATATTTCCTGTCAGTGAATTTCTTGATGAAACTCCACATTCCTACATAAAATTCTCGAAAGGATCCCCCTTGACATCTGTTAACTTAAATAAAATAATAATAAGTCTTTTGAAAAAGAGGATAATCTCTTCTGACAGTTGAGCGACTAATAATACAGGAGTAGGATTTAAAACACACAGGCACACTGAAAGTACCACCTTATTCTAGAAATCAAATACATACTCAGGATGCTTTCCTACCCTCTTCTGAAACGATAATGTTTTAGAGATGGCACAGGATGGGACAGAAGTACCTGTTCAGGTTGGTTGGCATTGGAGAGAGGAATGACCATCCAAATGACATTGAGGTTAATGAGGGCAGCGCTGGTGGTGAAAGTACAGGGCAGAACGGCTGTCTGACCCCGGGCCACCTGGACACTCCCAGGGCTCTCTGACACTTCCAGGGAAGCTGCGACACCTGCAGAAGGACAAACAGGAGATTATGTGCACTCCCTTTCCTGAGAGCCCAAAGCCCTTCAGAAAAGGTTTGTGTGTTTTACATTATCGGTAGTATAAACAGATTGGCATGACAGTCTTACTAAACAACTACTGACCAGTCACTAAGTCCAAATAATAAAAACTGCTCATCCCTTTACCTCACAGAAACTACAAGTGAAAAATATGAGAGGCTACTTATTCAATTTTGTAAGACACTATCAGGTATTTGGCCAGATTCAAATACAACATGGCAGAATTCAACTGACGGGGTTTGAGTAAAACCTGAAATGGTGATGAGGGATGAGAAATAAGCCAAACTTTTCTGAAAACATCATTACCATAGCACACTGAAAAATTAAACGCTTATCTATAAATCTAACAAAATATGTGTAGGATCTATAGCCTGAAAACTGTAAAACACTGATGAAATAAATCAAATAAGACCAAATAATTGGAGAGATATGCAATGCTCATGGATTGGAAGATCCAATATTGTTAAGATGCCAATTTTCCCCAAATTGATCTATAGATTCAGGGCAATCCCAATCAAAATCCCAGCAGCTTTTTGTTGATATTGACAAACTAATTCTAAAACACAAGAAAAGGGAAAGAGCTAGAATAACCAATAGAATATTGAAAAAGAAGAAAAAATCTGGAGAATTGACACTATCCCACTTCAAAATTTGCTATAGAGATATAGTAATAAAGACAGTACTAGCATAAGGCTAGACCACCACCAGATAAACAGCACAGAACTCAGAGTTCTGAAATAAGCCCTTATATTTCTTGTCAAATGCTTTTCAACAAAAGAACAAGACAATCAAGTAGGGAAAAGAATGATCTTTTCAACAAATGGTGCTGGAAGAATTCAATATTAATATACAAAAAAGATAACTCAGACTCTTACCTCATAGTACACACAAAAATTAACTCAAAATGTATCATAGACCTAAATTTAAGAGCTAAAACTATAAAACTTCTAGAAATAAACATAGGGGAAAATATTTATGACTTTGGGTTAGTCAAAGAGGTCTTAGATATGTCACCAGACCCATAAATTAAAAGAAAGCAATTAATAAATTGGACTTCATTAAAATTTTAAAAACCTTTATGCTTCAAAAGATTTAATTAAGAAAATAAAAAGTCAAGGTACAGACTGGGAAAAAATACTTCTTATTTTTGTCATATATCTTGTCATATATCTTGTCATATATCTTGTCATATATCTTGTCATATATCTGATAAAGGACTTGCATAAAGAATATATAAAGAATTATTACAACTCAATAATAAAAAAAACCTTAAAATGGGTAAAATATTTCAGCATTATTACTCATTAGGACACTGCATATTAAAATCACAGTAGGATACACTGCACACCCATTGTATTGGCGATAACTACTGTAATGGCGATAATCAAGGCAAAACCAAGTGCTGACAAGGATGTAGAAAACCTGGAGTCCTCATTCACAGCTGTTGGGAATGTAAAATGGTACAGCCACTTTGGAAAACAGTTTCAGTTTCTTAAACAGTTTCTTAAACAGTTTGACATACATTTGCCATACAATCTGGCAATTCCATTCCTAGGAATCTACCCAAGTAAAATGAAAATACATGTGCACACAAAGACTTGTCTGTGAATGTTTATAGTAGCATTATTCATATAATACCCCCAAATAGAAATAATACAAATATTCATGAACTGGTGACTGGATGGATACACAAAATGTAAGAATATCCATACAAAGAAATATTATTCAGAAATAAAAAGCAACAAGTTACAACATGTATGAGCCTCTCAAAGACATTTTGCTAAGTGAAAAAGCCAGATGCAAAAGACTACATACTGTATTATTCCACTTATATGGACTGTCCAGACAAGGCAAGTCTGTAGAGACAGCAAGAGAATCAGTGGTTGCCTGGGACTAGGGAGGAGGGAGTAGGGATTGATGCATATATATGTTCAATGGAACTTTTTAGGGCAACGAAAACTTTTAGAACTGGATTGTTAAGATGGTTGAACAACTCTATAAATTTACTAAAAACAATTGAATTTTATACTTTAAAAGGGTGAATTCTGTTGCATATAAATTATACCTCAATAATGCTGTTAAAATTCAAAAGAAATAAACAGTGACTTACCAGAGCCAACCCCTGGGAAGCCAAAATCAACTGTTATCTCTTCTGAAAAGAATGTCTGCCCAGCCCCCTGGGACTATGGAACAATATGAGACTAAATGGAGATTAAAATGGTCAAGGAGATCCAACAAAGAAGCTATTCTAACCATGAAAAATACATTAAGTCCCAGGCAGTATCTCAAACTGTTTTATTTTGACATATTATCCCAATTCTCCCAAAAAAGTAACATGATAGCATACTGTTATGATTACAATTAGTTTAAAAATTAAACGTACATAACACCCTCCTTTATAGAACTTCATGTTCTTCACATATAGTCTGATGATGTCCTCAGTAGTTAAATTTGCAGGATAAAATGTTTCATAAAATAAGCCATCAGTGGTAGAATATAAAGCACTTAATAACATCAGGAAAAGTCTCTAAGTTTTAAAAAGGCAAGTTGAAAGAACCGCCGGCATTAAGAGGCAGAAAGGGTAGGTTATGTGATCATGCCACCAGCCATGAAGAGCTGAACAAGCTGCCTCATAGGGTAGGAGTGGGTTAAGGGGGTATAAGTGTTACAATGATTATTATAAATGCCACTGGAGATGTTTTTAGGAATAAGTGTGGAAGCCAAACTAGTAACAGAACCTGCATCATTTCATTATTCAGATACTACTCCAAGGAAGAAGGGAACACCCGCCCTTAATCTACTATACCCTCCACCCTCAATTCACTAATTTCAAGCTGAACTTGCAGAATCTTTAATACAAATTTTTAAAAGAAAAAAAAATGACCAATACAAACTAAAAATGAAAGAGAAATATATAGATGGGGGAAATCTACCAAAATATGGTAGGGCTTCATTCAGTCAAGGAAGAGTAGATTTGCAGGATAGGGGTGGGAGCTGGGGGAAATACGGCAGGTCTGCTGGCAGACAGCAAGCCTCTGAGGTGGCAGAAGCTATGCAAGACCAACTTCATTTACTTCACATCTTTACGCAAGGTTAACCTTGAAATCTCAAGCACCAAGAGAGCTACAGAAGAAATACAAGTAGTCTAGACAAGGCTGCTCTCAGAGCTTAGACAAGTGTGGGTTCGAGGTCAAACAGATCTAGTTTGAAGTTTGGCTCTTTGATCTACTTAGCTGTGCGGCCCCAAATAAATCACTGAATCTCTGATTCTGTTGCCTCATCTGTACAACAGGGCTGAATACTGCCATCACATCTCCAAAGGGAATGACAAGAGCAGTACCAGATGTTGGTGGCTGACGACAACTACCACTTCTGCTATTGCTAGCAAATAGCAAGTCCACACTAAACACTATATACAAACACATACATATACATACACACACTCATTTAATCCTACAAGGTGTTTATCCCCATTTTACAGAAGAAATTGAGGTCCAGAGAGACCAAAAACCAGCTCAAGGTCACACAGAAGTGGTAAGGCTTGAATTCAAATCCCACGCAGTTTATCTATAGAGCACATACATTATACCACATATAACTAACACACAGAAATCAGTCCATAAATGTTGTCATTATTATCACTACTACAGGGTGTGATCAAAAGATATGGTGAATGTTTAAATAAAAAAATTTACTACAATAAAAGACACATTGTCATTAATCCCCCTCAAAATACTCTCGCTCACTTCAAACACACTTATCCCATCATTCTTGCCACTTTCTGAAGCAATTCTCTAAGTCCTCTTTCATGACTGTCTTTACTTCATCCTCCATCACGACAATGCTTCATGTCACACATCACTTCTGGTGTACGGCAATTTCTATCAAATAAAAACATTACAGTGTGTCCTCATCCACCTTAGTCACCGGATCTGGAACCATACGACTTCTGGCTCTTCTCCAAAGTCAAAATGACCATGAAAGGGAAAAGTTTTGAATTGATTCAGGACATCAAGGCAGCCACGACAGCGCAACTAAACACACTCACGAAAGAGGACTTCCAGAACTGCTTCAGAAAGTGGAAAGAACAATGGGATAAGTGTGTTTGAAGCAAGAGGAAGTATTTTGAGCAATGTTTCTTGTACTGTAATAATTTTTTATTTAAACATTCACTGTATTTTTTCATCACTCCTCATATATCATACAATCCCCAAATTTAAAACTAGTATGGACTTTTACATAAAACCATCAGATGGAAACTCCCACAACTTCCTGCTTCCAAACCCACAAATCAGCTTTGATCTGCCTCATCCTCTTCTTCTCTCCTGTCAGATTACAGGAGTTCATCTAAAGTCAATCCCTCACTTGGGGGATGGATTTACAATCCATCCTTTTGGCCTCCTTAGTAACCTTATCATAGACTGCTCCCTCTCTTGAAGCTTTAACCTCTCCTGTTGCACTGGAGCCTTCCTAATAGCATTTAAATATCCTCAAGTATTTCCACTTAAAAAAAATTCCTCCCCCCACACTCTACCCCACCGTCTCCTCCAGGAAATGCCCCCCTCTGATGCATCATCATTAACCTTTTTCAAAGAGCTGCCTATACTCACTCTCTCCATAGAGACTCTTCTGCCATTCAATCTTCAATCCACTCCTGCCATATCATCGCTTCTTAAAAATAGTTCTCCCTAGGTTTCCCAGAGACATCCTGATGCCTTCATGACTCTTGTGACCCTTCTCTGATTCTCAGTAGCATCTAACAGTGATGTCCACTCCCCCTCCTTCTTGAAACACATTTTTCCCTTAGCCGCAGTGACATAATTTACTCTAGTTTTCTTTCTGTATCACTGGCGACTTCTCGTCTCTTTTGCTGTTTCACCTTTCTCTACATGGCTGCCTTCTTTTACGCTAAACTCTCTTCCTACAAACTCTCATCTACTATCATGGC